AGAACCTGTGAGAGCTGTGAAGACCGCGGAGCGGACACCAGTTGCCAGAAGGGAACAGGCAACAGCAACAGCAACGAAGAAGCCAGCCCCCAAAGCTCCAACATCCACAGCAGCGAAGGATGCAAAAGGCGAGAAGGGAAAGCCATCAGCAGCCAAGGCACAACCAGTGGCTCCGCCGCGCACCAAATCCAAGCAGATGAAAGCCAAACCCCCGGGAGGTGCCACAACGGAGACCAAAAGACCGCCAGCAACCACAGCCACCAAAGGACAGGGGAATGTTCACGAAAAAGTTGCCAATGGAGAGATGACTCCACTGGCTGCACAGGTGGGCAACGTGGTACTCCAGGCAGCCGAAGCGGTTCCGGCGGTGACAAGCGACGTGCCCGTTCCCTCAACACCAGCAGAGAGGCGCAGAGCCCAAGGAGCAAACATGTCCAAGCTGGTCCGGATGAGCTCTCGCCTGAGCATGCTCAGCCAAAAGAGCCGCTCGGATTCGCCACAGAATCGCAAGGTGGCAACAGTGCCAGAGACCACGCACGAAACCGAAGGTGAGATTAAAGCTAAAGGATCATCCACAATGAAGATTTAATTTGAATTATTCCTTGCAGAAGCCACGGGGCATGGCTCTCTGATGAAGTCTGATGGGAGCCTGCCTGCCGCCGCCATTCTGGAAAAGTCACAGAAAACCCTCGAGAACATACAAAAGACCGTCACGGAGGCTACGGATGAGATCCATAAGACGATCAGCGAGAACCTCACCGATCTAAAGACTCTGGAGAACGACATGGGCAGGGCCGCAGATGCCTCTCCCGCTCCCGCACCCACTCCCACCTCTGGCACGACGCTGGCCAAGCCAGGCGACTCGGAGTCCCGTACGGGGACAGCGGATGGTGGCAATGCTGCCCAGAGCTCCGCGGAGCAGCCAAAGTCTCCGTTTCCACCCACACAGCCCATCGAGGCAGCCGTCTCTGTGGTGCATCCGGATGAGCGTGCCACGATATCCAGTGTGCCCGAGGTGGAGTGCCAGAGCTCCGACCTGCCCACAGTTCGGGACGTGTCCGAGTCGGATCTGGGCGGTCATGTGATGCCAACGCCCGAGAGCGGTGCGGACTTCAAGGTGGACGCCAAGCGACGCTCTCCAGACGGACAGGGCGGCTCCGCGGCAGGCAGTGGTGGCATGGCAAAGTGAGTAACAGGGGAAAACTGCTTAATATTGGTGGAAACACCAATGAATATTCATGGGGCCAGAGGATCTGCTCTGCGTCATGTTGAAATTTTAGGCGGGAAGGACTGACTGACGGAGAGTACTAATTTTTTACCTCGACCCTAGAGTCTCCACATAAAGCACTGGCCCAAGGCTTAGAGCGCTTGGCTAGTCGTCAATTTACATACAGGAAACCCCCCAAACAACGGGCAACAGCAACAAAAACACTTTATAGTGCCGTGTGGACTGTGGGCTGGGGCTGCCTCCTCGTGTGGGGCTCGGTTGGGCACAGGTCCGTCAAGCCACTCATAAGTGCGTCAATAAATTTTGAATAAAACACGAAGCGGGGTGGACTCCACGAAGCCACACCAGACGACCACCTTTGAGGAAATCCGTTCCTCTACCTTGTCGTCGTCGTTGGTTGTTGGTCGTCAGGTCGGTCGCAGTCGGCGAAGGTAACGATGTCCTTCACTGCATTGTTTTTCCAGTCAACCGATATGCGCGAGACCCCAAGAAAACGTGTGACCGACCCATTACAGTGGCCACTCTGCCCCAAGGACAGCTAGAGAGAAAAGAGCCACGCTGTCCACTCTAGGCTGGCTCTACCGTACGGACAGGGTATAGCGTGCATATCGCACGGAGGTAAAAGTATTTTCGCAACACGACTTAAGTTTCTTTGCCGCAATAACAAATCAGTTTCGACCGGACAATCGCGCTAACCGCAGCCTAGCTCCCGTGAGGCAACGGCGACTACAGATCTCATAGACCCGTAGAGAGTGCACCGTGAATTTCCCACAATTAATCCGAGTAACAATTTAGATAATTTCACGCAAAAATGCTGAACGAAACGAGCAAAAATTCGGTCATATATACGGTTGATCTAACGCAGGACTCGTTCATAGACGGCGATAAGTATTTCTTTAGGTAACGAGCATTAGCTCCCAGATTCCAATTATATTTTATCGTTTGCCATCAGTTGGCATAGCTTTTGCTTGGGTATGCATACGAGTAGTTAACGCACCAAACGACGACCTTGTGGATTCATTTAAAAACAAAACTCACAAGTAAATGCGAAGAAGAAAGTTTCATTTCATTCCGATTGTTGTCACTCCGCCACGAGTATCCGAGTATTCGTACTCCAGCTCGAAGTTTGTTGGATTCCATTCCTTTGCGCTCAGCGCGGGTCAAATAAATTACCGACCTCCAAATTGCGTTTGGTCGTTGGCTCGTGCACAACGAAATTAAAGGCGTTCGAAGCCCCAAAAACACATATAGTACATGTACATGGGTACATTTAGCGGGCTGTTTTGGGCCTATAAAAATTGTGTAAGCGTCCTGAAGGGAATTCTCGTGTTTTGAGTTGACATTTCCCCAGTCGGTTCTTTACAGAAGTCAAGAAGTGTCTGTCTGCTTTCATAAGCAAATGAAGAAGCAATTAAGTGTTGGATTATAAAGTCTGCATAATGCCATCATCCATCAGATGTGGCTGCTTTCCATAGTAATTTATACACATTGAGTAGTAGGTTATGTTCCTCCGACTTTGATTATATATTCAGGACCCATAAACTTGAACTTTGGCTCCGCTGGAACGCTGCTAACAACTTTCCAATCATACAAGACTTCCGGCTCTTGGCAGCCTGCCAAGCCCTGAAGCCATAAAAGCTTACATCCGGTCTTGGGTCCCCACTCAAGGATAGCATGTGGCGACCACGGACAAGCAACTAATAAGGCTTATACTTTCCAACAGAACCAGCAGCCAAGAGTTTCTGGAGGCAAAGGACAATAATGCCAATAAGAAGGGATTGTGTCGCTGCTGCTCCTCATTGTGCATGCCCTGTCGCCGCTCTCGATGCTCCCGCTGCTGCTTTAGACGCGAACGGATCACCTCAGCCGAGGACCAGCCTGTGCTATGGAGTGCACACAGTAGTGCCACAACCGCCACCAATGTCCAAGTGATTGATGAGACCAAGCCGCAGAAGAAGAAGTTGACGGACTGGCTCAAGTCGAGCTGCTGCCGAAGCTGCCGGAAGAAGCCACCGCCCGGGGACACAGACAAGCCAGAGCCGCCGAGCGTGAAGCAGGAGACCAGCATGAGTACGGGACCAAAACGTGGAGGCAAATGTGGCCTCTGTTTGAGCAAATTTTTCTGCTGTCGCTCGGTGAACAAAGTGGACGACACGGGCAATGAAACCGAGCTGAAGAAGTGCTGCTTCTGCATACCGTATCGAAGGAATCGCAGCAAGGCGAAGGGTAGCTCCGTTTCCTGGAGAGATCAAGATCCAGAGCTTGGCATCAAGCCCACTGACACATCGGTTCTGGAAGGTGCCTCCGAGGCCTCAATGACTTCAGCAGCTGCGGATGCTACGGCTCCAATGGCAAAAGAGTAAGTCTGCCACACTATCCATACTTCTATTCCTGATGACATTTTCATTGAAGGGGCTGCTGCAAGCGTTTCTGGCTAATGATGCTCTGCTGTCGCAAGAAGCCGCGTCGTGAATCGAATGCTCGCCGACAGAGCATCAGAGCCCCGCCGCCCAGTGAGGCAAGTGGATGATACTCTCTCTCATTGCAACACTCTATAATTCCATTTTCCGCACGTAGGACACTCGCCGGAAGCTGCATAACGACCTCGTGGAGCATGCATCCAAAATGAAGGGAGCCATTCCTGTGCTGCCGCTTTACTTGGCTTGGTTCTGTGCCTTCTGCAATGTCATCTTTCCAGGCTTAGGTGGGTTTTTCAGCGACTGAATCTTTCCGAAAATGTGAATTCTAAGGTCTCCCAATATTTAGGTACGCTTCTGTCGGGGCTCCTTTGCTTGTGTGTGGGCATTCCACGGTTTTCGCAGTACGACAGTGCACGGGCTCGGATCGGATCTTTCATAATCAACATTATTGTGGCAGTGTCCCAGTTCTGTTGTGTACTCTTCTGCTTCGTGGGCTGGGGCTGGTCCATTTGGTGGGGTACTATTATGCTGAAATGTGCAAGTAAGTTTACAACAATTCGCTGACCAACCGTTTGATAAAATACAAGCCAACAAATAACCCCCAATTGCAGAGAAACTTAGCAAGATCAAAAAGGTGGAACGGCTGGAACTGGAGGAGGAACAACGACAGGCCAAGCTGGCGGCCACTGCGGCTGGAGAGACTGAGCCGGCAAAGACATAGTAATCCAGTCCACAAGGACACATTCAAGGGACGTGATTTTTTTTATACAATTGTGTACATACCTTTGTACAAAACTGTAGACGTGCACTTCCAAATGTACTTCCATGATAAGTAAAGTGGACAATGCTTCCTTTGAACAGAAATTAACTGCATAAATGTATACATATGTATTAAAATCATTAAACTTCCACTAAAATAACAAGAGTTTTTTGCGAGTTTTGAATTTTATCGAGATAACTGTTGTAGTCGGTGGGAAGCAATCGAATAGTGGTTTGGTATTTCGTGTGTTTTCTTGAAGCAGGGCTGTTACACGTTTGGTATTTTGTGTATTTTCTTAAAGCAGGACTGGTTCTCTGTTCGAAGACGTTCAGGATGACCATTTAAGGTATTTTATATAGTTTTCAGTATATTTTGACTACGAAATTGAGTTTATTGTACATTTACGATTGAGAAATAATTGGAGAATTGATTGATAAATCAATTGATAAAATTATAAAATTATAGTTTTATAGCGGAAACACCTAACTAGCTAGTAATATCAAATAGAACATCAAAATCAAAGAAAATTATTTTTATTTTTAAAATGAATGTATAATTTTTGGTATATTTCTGAGGGTACATGCTATCGATATTTCCGCGGTCACACTGATTCAATTGAAAAACACGACGTCAATTTGCAAATTTGTGTAAACTTTTGTAAATTGTAGCTGTATTAAGATGTCGCACCTTGTGAAGATGGAAAATGGCCAAAGCCAGACGATACAGGAGATGCTGGGCTGCATTGAACGGTAAGCTTAGCCACCGCCACCGAGTTTTGTTCACAAAATAAACACATGCACATAACCTCGCTTTTTGACCACAGCTACAACCCAGACCATTTGAAGACTCTGGAGGCGTACATTCAGGATCAGGCCAAGAACAACACCTACGACCTGGAGGCCAACCTGGCCGTTCTCAAGCTGTACCAGTTCAACCCGCACATGCTCAACTTTGAGATCACCTACACGATTCTGTTGAAATCGCTGACAAATCTGCCGCACACGGACTTCGTGATGGCCAAGTGCCTGCTGTTGCCACAGCAGATGAAGGACGAAAACATTCAGACCATTATCGATCTGGCCGATATATTGGAGCGTGCCGATTTCACCCTGTTCTGGCAACGCGCCGAGGTTAACCGCACCATGTTCCGTCACATCAGCGGCTTCCATGATTCCATTCGCAAGTTTGTTTGCCATGTCGTGGGCATCACCTTCCAAACCATCAAGAAGGATTTGCTGAAGGAGCTCCTGGGCGGCATTGAAGACTCGACACTGGAGAGCTGGATCAAGCGCAATGGATGGAAGCACCAGGGCCAGGGTCTGGTTGTAATCGCCATGCAGGACGACAAAATCAAGACCAAAAATATTACAGAGAAAATTGAGTTTGAGAACGTTGGCGCATTGATGGCACAGTGCCTCTAGGTTTCTCATTACATTCATAGTTTTGTATGAATTTCTACGAAAAGTACATAATATACACGAAAAATAAAACGTCTGGCCCTTAATACAGCTAACAAGTTATTTATATTCAAAGACACACGCGAAGTAAACGCTTCTTTAGTTTACAAAACTATTTCCCCTAGACACACACACACATTACAGAACTAACAATTGCTTATCCTTTCTATGACTGCTTTTTGAACTTTTTCAATATGGGAAATATTTTGTCGAAGGCGTCGTAGATCTCCTGTCTCACTTTTGCGCCCGTCAACACCACTTTCCCGGAGACGAAGATGAGGAGCACAATACGCGGACGCACCATACGATAGATCAGACCTGGGAAGAGCTCAGGTTCGTAGCTGCTGAAGTTGCAATGTGTCAGCACCAGGCCCTCCAGTCTTATGGGAAACTTTACATCGCACGAGCCAACCATGTTTTGAATCTTGAAATCGAGGAATTTGGCCTGCAAGAAATGCATTATAAAACTTTCTTCAGATTCAAAGCAGACTTGGTACTCACCGGAAATCCCAGCTTCTGTATGATGCGCGCATATTTGCGCGCTGCGAGCCTCGAGTCGTCTTCACTTTTGGCGCCAGTGCATACCATTTTGCCGGAGCTGAAGATCAGGGCTGTGGTGCGTGGCTCACGGATACGCATGATGACAGCAGCAAAACGTTTTGGGTTGTACTCGGCGTTTCTGGCATGCAGCGCAATCTTTTTCAGGTCCAGCTTGCAGCACAAGTTCACTGTGGACACAATATTTTGGAGTTGAGGAACTATTCCGGGGTCTGCAGAGCCGGGCGTTGCCGGTGTCATGGGCGTCGCTGGGCCCATGGTTTGGTGTATGTTGCTGAGTGAGTCCCCGCCCGCCCCAGCCCCAGACGCACTGCGTTCACTCATGGGAATCATGTGCGACATCATGCTCTGCGGAGTCTGTGGCTGCATTAGAGACTGCGGCGTACTGCCCCCGGCAGGTTGTCCCTGGTGCTGCTGCTGATATGAAGCGGACGGCTGGTAGCTCTGCATTTGTTTGTGGGCCAAGGGCAATGTTGGTTCGTGGCCAAAAAGTCCACTGCCGCCGGTTGTAGCGTTGCTGGCATCTGATTGCTGTTGTCCCGACGCCGGTACTGGGGCGGATATTACAGGTTCTGGCTGTGGTATTGCCGGAGGATGATAAACTGGATTCGCTATAATCTGTTGATCTGCCTCCATCTGATGCATTGGCGTTCCAATGCTCGGAATGGAGAAGTTAGGACTTAGCATTTGATCCATGTTGCAGGCTATTTCTGTGGATATACAGATGCGTATTGAGTTAAAGGGACGCGTATAGACACAAATATGGTTTAGAAGTACAATTAAATGTTTTATTTACAATTCTTTCCTGCGTTTTAATAATGAGGGCTTCTACTGTTTTGCTTTTGCCAAAGCGGCCGACGACGGAGTCGCCAGTTCGCCAGCGTGAGAATGTGTAGAGAAGTGATTGCGTTGATATTGCTCGATTTTTATGTTCGGCTTACGATTACTAGCTACCTAACACACTCAGGACTGAATATACAATTTTCTTCTATTAATAAATCAATTTTCTAAAAGATTTTGATTTTCATATTACACCTTTTAAATTATATTATTCCTAAAATAAGTTTTTGACGAAATCTAATCATCAAAGATGAATGAAATGACAAGATTACTACGAAGCATCTACACATTTGCTACATACTAACTACATGTTAATGTATAGAAACGCTTGTTGACGAGTTTTCCCGCATTTTTATCATAAAACGCTAGTGGAAGCGGCAGTGTGAAAAACCTACGTGATCCACTTTTTACGTGCCCTTCTTATATTTTCTACATTGGTGCATTGGACAAGAGGGTGACGCATAATGCGTCTTTAAATATATTGGAACGAAGAAAAGAGTCAAAAATACTAAGACAAAAATGCAAGGTGTGCAACCTAAACAAGGTCGTCGTAAAAGTCTCAAAGTCTATTAATTAGTGTTAAAATTCAGTTTTCCGAGCTGTTATCATGATTTTTTCTTGTTGAGCGACATGTTGTTGACCTATTTTTTGAATTTCCTTTTATTTATCACGCTCTGGATGCATATTCTCGAAATTAATCAACACTGTATGTTTGAAAACCGCAGCCTCCCCCCTTCGGGGATCAGTTGAGAATATTTAATTCAAAATTTTTAGTTAATTAATTAATGTGATCCCATAAATATTACCCAGATTACTGACAAGAACGAGGTGATGGCCCAAGAAAGATCTTTTGTGGTTGATGCTCCGGACAGGGACGGGGAGGGAGAGTGGTAATAGGTATTTCCATGTTCATCTGTGTACTCATGTCTTCCACTCGATGGCGAGTTCTGGAATGTGCCGCCAACGCCAGGAACATTGTAGGGTCCTTCGTTCTGACCGCGTATGTAAATACCATTTCCTGGAGTGCCCAACTGATGTGGGCCATTCCTGCCGTCATAATTCTGCTGCGCACTTGCCGCTGCGTGGAAACCAGAATAATGGAATACCAATCAATACAAATCTGAGGTCACTGGAGCTCACCTGAAAACAGCACGCAGGCAGCAACGATACAGATGACAACGAAAATTCGCATGGTGTATGCAGTAGCTTCAGTTACAATGCCCAGCTTAAACTGAGAGCAGTTTTCGCGAAAATCTATTTATACGGAGCAATTAAAGTACGTTGGAAGAGAGCGCGAGAGCCTATCTTGCGGCAATTAGTAGAAGCTGAGAATGGGTGAAATCAGATGTCGGATGTCAGATGTCATAGACAGACAAATACATATGTATGTATGAATGTATGAGCATCACTTCCAATAACAATTTTCTTTATGCTCCAGTAGCCCCGTTATGTTGCACCAGAAGGCCTGCAGCTGAACACCTTATCGTACATTCGCATGGGAACAAATATATGTATTTATATCATTTTGCGCATGCTTTTTGAGAGCCAATGTAATTTTTAATTTTAGTACGATACCTTGGGAGAGAAAGCGCATCGTATATACACAATGAATATACAAGTACATAGCCATTTATGCATATATAGAAATTGACAATTGGTTATACAATAAACAGTCAAAAGCACTTAGATTTGCCTACAACAGCAGGCCTGTAACAGCATTATGTTTTGAAAATTACTGTAAATTAAGATTAAATCAAATTTTTATCTCAATGGAGACGATATTTCAGTTCTTTCGAACCAACTATGTGCTGGCCAACTGCGAGAATGCCATCATCAAGAAGGCCTTCACGTTGAATCTCTCCCACTACCAAATTTCCGAGGCGCCCGAGATGATTGGCCAGTGCGAAAGTTTGTTGAAGCTCTTTCTGAATCAGAACAAGCTGACAAAGGTAAGCTGACAGAGTGCTGATGTCATTTGAACAGATAAAGATAAGGATAATCACACCAACAGATTCCCTCTTCCATTACCAATCTCGTGCGCTTGCAAGTTCTTACCTTGGACTACAATAAGCTGGACGAATTTCCGCTCGCCATCTGCCAAATGTTGCAACTAAAGTTTCTCAATGTCAGCTGCAACGACATCAGCCGCCTGCCCCCGCAAGTGGGGTGTCTAACCCAGCTGGAGGCCTTCTGGTGCAACAACACGGGGCTGCTGGAGCTACCGTCGGAGATCGGGTGTTGCGAGCGCCTCGAGACACTGGGAGTGCGCGGAAATCAGCTGAAACAGCTACCCCCATCGATGGGCTCTCTCGCTTCACTGCGCTGGTTCACGGCCGAAGGGTGTCAGCTGAGCGAGGTGCCACTCTCATTCGCATTGTTGGCCAGTCTGGTGCACCTCAATCTGAAAGGCAACCGTCTCACACGAATCCCAGGAGTGCTGATGGCAATCCAGAAGTTGAGGTTCGTGTTCCTCAACGATAACCTTATCGACGAAATGCCCACACGCTCCCAACTGCAAGAGCTACGTTTCCTGGACATGCTGAATTTGAAGAGGAATCCAATTTGTATTCATGAATCGTTGCAGCGTTTCGCAGTGGTACGTTGATGATTGTTATCTTAAAATTAAGAGCGTCCATCAATCGATTTTACAGCGTCAAACAAACATCTACATGGAACTGCCGGATCACCTAATGAATGAAGCCGAGGAGAATGCCGCTGCATTTTCTGGCAGGGATCAGACTCAGGACGACCAGCCTGAGACTGATGACACGGCCACGTCGGACTGGGCGAACAGCGCGCGAACCAGTGAACTGGACACGACGGACGAGAGCTCGTTGGAGGATAAACTAGAAGAAGTCGGAATGATGTTGCCGGCAATGTCGCGTTATATCGCGTCCTTTTGAATTGTATAGTATGAGCTTTTCAGTATTACACAGCACGCATAAATGTGTTATTTATTGTTAAGATTTGTGTGTTTGTACATGCACCTTTAACAACATATCGTACCGCTCGAAATGCACTCTGGGCGAGCTCTAGCCGGTAGGGGAACAGGAAACAGGAAACAATACGATTTGGTTAAGTAGGAAATGGTGCCAATATGACAGGTGTTTTGTGTGTAAACGCATTAACTGGACATTTTCTTCATGAGTTCTTCGTCCTGCATGGACATGGCCGTCAGCTTCTTGCCAATCTTCTCATGAATGTCCAGGTACTTGGCCACACAGCGGTCGATGCAGACCATCTCACCCTTTCCTGCAACAAAACGAGTCATATGTAATTAGAGAACACTCACGAAACGCATAACCTGCCACACTCACCCAACTCCGACTCCGAATAGCGCGGTGGAATGCACTTCTTGTGGCACACGTTTGTCATGCGGTTATATAAATCGGACATCATTTCAATTTCCATTTCTTGCATGAGCTGTACTTTGGCCTGGTCGGCCGGGCTGATCTGGGACATATCCATGGTGGGTGGTGCTGCTTTTAATTGATGGTTAACTAAATGTGTTCGAACTTAGTCAAAACGCCTGTCGGAAGAGGAAGAGTCGTAGTCGCCGTGATTCGCTTTTCTCATGCGTTCACGTATTCGCATGCTCTCGTAACGCCGGCTATCAACGGATTGCTTAGACAGCACAAAAGCGTAAACTCCAGCAGCGGTTAGTATTCCCCTAATCAGTCAAGACTTCAATTTAGAATTGACAAAATGTAATTACACAATTTTTTTCTACAAACCAACAGACAGCAATTCGTCCAGCGTTTCCTAACGTCATAACTATTTATATCGATATATATTTTTGTGTGATAGTTTTCTGAAGAAAACTGAACATTAATGTGGGATCAATGAAATTTTTAGTACAGACATACAGACATTATAATAGACATACCGGCATTTGATTTCACTTATCGATGTACATGTAGGTGCAAAAAAGTATCGATAGTTTTGTGCGATCTCTATCTATCTTCTTTCGTAATTTAGCCCCGAATATCATCAATGAATTAAGATAAGATCAAGAAGACACATATTCCCAAATGACTTCACAAATCTACAGCCAGAAGAAGTTCATACCCACGCCGCCGGAGAAGGGCTCGTTTCCCCTGGACCACGAGGGCCTCTGCAAGAAGCAATTTCTTCTATACGCCAGCTGCCTGCGGCGAAACGCCCAGGACACTAGCCTGTGCCGCGAGGACGCACAAAACTATCTTGGTTGTCGCATGGACAACAATCTTATGGAAAAAACTGAATGGTCAAAGTTGGGTTTTCACGACAAGAAACCGGCTGCAGGGGAAGCCAATCAGCAACAATGAAACCAGAACGTAATGTGATTATAGCAGCCACAGGTAGTGTGGCTACCATTAAGTTAACACAAATGATAGCAGAACTCTCCGATGAGCGGCTGCCCTACAAATTCCACCTGAAAGTCCTCATCACCGAGGCAGCCAAACACTTCTTCGAGCTGGAGCAAATACCCGAGAACGGTAAGCGACGATTCTACGATAATCTGCGTAAAATTCTTCTAGAATTATCTGCATTTTCAGTACCCATTCTCCATAATCGTGATGAATGGTTGGGCTGGAACCACCGCGGGGATCCCGTGCTGCACATCGAACTGGGAAAGTGGGCCGATCTGATGGTGATTGCTCCACTCAGCGCGAATTCTCTCTCAAAAATTGCCACCGTAAGAATGAATAATGAAGCATTTTTCTTGGTAATCTTTTGTGTAAACGAGCATATCTTTGTGGTTATTGCAGGGGATTTGCGATAACCTTGTGATGTGCGTGGTGCGTGCTTGGAACCTGGAGAAGCCCCTGCTCTTTGCGCCAGCCATGAACACGCGCATGTACGATCACCCCATCACGAAGGAGCAGATCGACAAGCTGGTGAGCTGGGGCTACAAACAGATTCCATGCATTTCCAAGACGCTAATGTGCGGCGACACGGGCAATGGGGCCATGGCAGAAGTGCGCACAATTGTTGAAGCAGTAGTGTTGGCTGCCTTTCAGCTGAACAATTAATTGTTAAGGGCGGGCGATACGAGGAGAGCAAACACCCAATTTTGTTATACACACAATGTTTATATATCGCAGAATATTTTGTTACAACAATTAGACAAATACTATAATTGGCTTAGCCTTACAGATCCACCACCTGCATGTTCTCCATGGAGTTGTTGGCCGAGTGGTTGATCAGCGCCTTCTCCGAGTCGGTGAGATTGATGAACTTGTGCTTGGACTTCAGCTCCTGCTGTATGGAGGAGAGCAAATCGGGTGAAGAGCGCCCCATCTTTGTGCTTCTGCTGCTCTCTCCGTTAGCAGCGCACTTCTGCTCTTGCAATTCAGGATCGCCCGACACCTCAAGCTTCGGCTCCACTATGGTCTCCATTTGGAGGGACTGGCCCTTGCGGCGCATTCGCTTCGAGCCGCGTGTGATGAGCACCACGGCAGGCGACTCGAACGGCAAGGCCTGTATGACTGTCTGCAGAAGTTTTGGAGCAATCTCTGGAGTCTTCGGATTGCCAATTACCACATCCGCTTGCAGGGCACTGCGCGCACGCTCTCGCTCCTCCTCGCGTTCCCTTGCTGCATTCTTGCGCATCAGTTGACGGGCTCGCTTCTTGAGAATGGCCTGCGCATTGGGATAATAGGCAATCACTTCGTTCAGGTCCGACTTGGACAGCACAAACAGATTGGAGTAGCCCTTGGATCGCACATCGGCCGTGCGACGATCGGCCCCATTGATGCCCAGCAAGCTGATCTCTCCAAAGACTGAGCCTTCGGTGAGGGTGGCCAGAACCACGTCGCTGTTGGGACCGCCCATCACCTGCACCTGGCCCAGCTTTACAATGTACATCTCGCGGCCAACCTCCCCTTTGCGACACACAAAGTCCTTGGGCAGAAAGGTGACCGCCCGCAGTTTCAACACCAAATCTCGCAGCAACGCCTCCTCGCAGTCGGCAAAGAGTTGGACTTTGGACAGTGTCTGGATGTGCACGGAGATGGCGATGTCTGTCTTCAGATTGATGGGCAGTGCATCAAGTATATTCGATTCATCTGAGAGGGAATAAGAGTGTCAAGAGGCAGGTTGATCGGGAGGGGGATATGCCCACCTAAAGTACGCTGCTGCTCCCAGGTGAACTGGAACCACATCTTGACCCTTGACTGCACCTCTTGGGACAGATTCAGGCGTCGCATGTACTCGAGCGTCTCATCCTCCAGCTGGCGGTACTCGTGCCTGTTCCTGGTGGCCGTGGATATAATGTCGCGTATCTGTCCGATAAGCAGCGCAAACACAAAGACGCCCATAAGCCAGGCCACCGTCATGAAGACGTACTCCCCCTGTCGCTCCGGCTTTGGATTCTTCCCTATCGAAGTGGCCGTCTTGGTGGCAAAGGCAAAGCAACGCACATACGGATGTCCCTTGCCACTGAAGACCCAGCGGTTCTTGCCCAAGCCCTGATAGTCACTGTAGGCATAGTACAGGGCAGCCGTGATGTGGATCATGTACAGCATATAAGTGAGAGTCTTGGCCACGCGTACCTGTACGGACACAATGGAGTGGACACAATAAGACAAGAGGATGGCAGTTGGATTCAAGTGGAAACTTACAAAATGCGGCGATGATATGACCCGATCCAGCAGGCGAAACACTTCCCAGAAGCTTTGTATCTTGAAGAAGCGAGGAAAGCGCAACCACACGGCGCCCGTTCCCAGCTTTAAGTAGAACAGCTCCAGCGGCAGCAATGCCAAAAGATCCAACTGTTGAAGAGAGGCATGAGATTGGATTTTAAAGGTAAAGGTAATGTGTAAAGGACGCACCTTAAACTGTAGCTTCCGCATGTAGTTCTTTCTCGTGAGGTTCTTGTTCTTCACCCAAAAGCCCTCGAAGAGGTACATGACTCGATGCTTGAAGAAGACCACGTCCAGCAGATAGACAATGTCCGCACAGAAGTCGCAGGCCAGCCAGATGTTGGTGTTCTCCTTGGTCTGAAAGGGAAACGAGGCGCGCAGCGGTATGACCCAGGCATTGTAGAGAAAAGACAGCGACACCACACACAGCCAGGAGATATAGATCTTCCCCTGCGGATCCAGCGTTCGCTCGTCATTGTTGGCCCCGCACAGGCTGGAGCAGAGCCACACATTTGAGCGAGGAGTGTCGGCCTCAAAGAGGCGTCCGCGGTGAGGCGAAGTGCCCGCCGGCACCAAGCGCACCTTGTGCTCCGGCGAGGGGTGCAGGCTCTTGGTGCTTGCGTGCAGAGCCGTGGGCGGCGGCGAGGGCGAGCTGGCGTTGCTGGACGAGGGCGTGGGCGGCAGCTCGATGCGGGACTTCACTTTGTTGGCGCGCGCCGTGAAGCGTCGCACCAGATGGCGGACTTGGTCGCGCAGGAACTGCTGACCCTGGGAGTCCAGGCTGCCGGCGCTGCTCGGCTTGCGATGCTGCTCCTGCTCCCCATCCATTTCTGGCTCCACCACGGCCACGATCTCGCTCTCGTTGAAGGAGGGCGAACGCAGGCGGCGCACATTTTGATCCTCGTTCTGCAGCTCCGGCGACTCGTTGTAGCAGATCTGCACGTCCTGTTCGTCTTCGTCCTCCTCCTGGATGGGCTGGGACTCGTCTGCCGGCTGCTCGCACGACTCCAGCGGCAACACCACCTGACCCGTGGCCGCCGCCAACTCTTCGGCTCGCTGCACTGCCACCGGATCGGGCACCGGCATGGCCACCATTCCAGGCAGGGGCGTCATCTCCAAGTTGTCCGACTGCAGAATGCGTCTCACGCTGTCCGGACTCACCAGCGGCTTCTCGTGCTTCAGTATGTGCTTGACCAGGGCGTGGGTGGCGCCGATATTGCTCTGCTGCTCGGCAGCGTCCACGCAGCCAATCCTCCCATTGCGAAAGTACAGCCGGGAGTGATAGAACCGAGGACTGTTTGGGCGCTGGCGACGCTGCGGTGCCTTGTAGGCATTGATCTTGTAGGTGATCCGCTTGACGGGACTCGGCGTCTTGTTCTCCTTGTCGCCTCGACGGATCTGCGCTTGGACCTGCACCTGCAACTGCTCCTTCTCCAGCTCATTCTCGCGCTGCATCATCTGCTCTGTGGCGGTGACAAACTGTTCGATCTCCTTGATGTCCTTGGAGATCTCCTCCAGGCTGCGCCGCACCTGAGCCTCCTTTTCACCCGGACTCGAATAGCGGCGCACGCTCTCCGGTTGCTGGTTGATCACATTCCGCATGAAGGCGTGCCGCTCCAGAGTGTCGCAGAACTTGGGCTCTGCCGGTGGCCGCTTGGACCTGCCCGACTCGTAGCCGGAGCTGGTGGTGGGAGAGGTCGCCATACGCTTTAGATGCGAGTGTGCCTTCTGTAGGTGGAAGTCGTCGTACGAAAAGTTCTCCAAAATGTTGGGCGATGACTTCAGCAGCGATGCATTCGCCTCCAGTTCGAGCTCCTCGCTGCGCTGGTTCAGCTGTGAATGAATCGAGCACTCGGTTGATTCGATGGCCAACAGCTCGTCTCGAGGCGAACCAGCACGCACATCCAATAAAAACAACTGCCGCTGCTGTTGCCACTCGAATGTGCCTCGCATGGTAATTGACCCGAGCAGCCCGCACATTCAACATTTCCACCAGCAATACCTCATCTATGTATCTCTCTATCTGTTGGTTGTTGGTTGAAGCGCGTGCCATTAGCACGTTTTCGTTTTTGGTCAGCAAAGGACGCGGGTTCAAGCAGTTGAATATACCAAGATGTACCTTGAACCTTGGTCCTAGTGGGGTCAAAGTTTCAGGCTACTCAAAGCAGTTATTCCAATAAAGGAAGCTCCTCTTTACTCTCTATTAATTGTAGTCCTTTCTCGCACAGGGTCAACATATTTCTGGCAATTAGATAAGTATCTTACAGATAGAGAAGTAGAGGCAAGAATTCATCTATCCTTTTCCTCACAGAATATCAACCTTCCCCCATGGAGTACAACAACCTCTTCAACTTCCAAGATAACTCTAAGTAGCTCCCAAACTTGACCTATGCTCGCGTGTACAAAAATAAAGACAACATTTAGCTTACCATGCGAAAGCGTCCCATGCTGGACATTATGGCGAATGGCCACCGAGCAAGTTCAGTGTCAGCGTAGGGTCGGTTCTGTGGTCAGGGTCGTTTGGCCTTGGTTCTGAAAGGAGAGACACAGACAGATACGTGCTAAATTGCGTGCTGCACACGGCGTATGATTAATTTACTGTATAGAGAGACACGCAAAACGAAGTGCAGCAGGCGACAGCGCTTGGTATCTACAGTCCCGAAGTATCCATATGCTACGCCGTATTGATTTTTCCAGCCGCTGCAACTGTTGGGTTTTACTTCGCTGATTTACCTATGCCTTTGTTTTGCTCAGATTCTGATTTGAAGGCATGCCAACAGGTGGTTGAAAACTTATTGCAAATTGCAATAGAACGTTGAAACGTCTTTCAACGTGTTTTTATTTCTGTTCTGCACTAATTAAACTTATTAACTTTCCTAATTGCATTTCAGAATTGCATGGAAACTCACTTGCCCAAAGGCACTGGGTATAAGGTTTTGCTTTTGTGGATGCCTTTCGATCTCAAAGGAAAGGAGTCGCCTATCGCCGCTGGGGGAGAAGCTGAACTGGACAACAAAGTGCCCTGCACTATGCCAAACAAAATCAGCGCAGGCGCTCTGCTCTCTGTTCTCTGTTCTAAGGTACAGTGGAACTGAACGTATTTAAAAAGTTGAAAATTTACATTTAAAAATGTTTAAAATGCAGAAGCTTGTAGCTGGAAATTATAAAATAAATATACTTTGAGCTTAGTTTATTATGTTTTTTCTTTTTCAAACATCTCTTAGCCCTTAGTAAAGCTCTAATGAGACTTTCGGCACTTAAAGCTTGACCACTCAAAGCTCTTGCCCACCCAACCACCCATTCACGAACTCCCACACACACTCACTCAAAAGAGAAACAATTATCTACTCATTATTTTTTTTACAAGTTTTTTATATATTTTTTTTTTGTTTGAAATAATATTCCATTCAGCTCTACATTTACAATTTCATAATTGTAATTATTTTTTTGTTTTTGTTTGTTTTGTTTTCACTTTTAAATTACACAATTATATATATTTAAATATATACTCATGTAGGTATTTTAAAACGTAAGTGTTTTTATTATATATATTATGTATATATAACTTTTGTTTTGCCATCGAATCTGTAGATTCGAACTTCAAATAACTTTGATGCAATCGAAAAGGGGTAAAGGGCCAACTGGTACCGGGGCTTTACCCCAAAGATGCGCTGGCGTGGGGGGGGATTGTGGAGGTTCTTGAAGAAAATTTACATACATATAGGTACATACATAGGTATATACGCACAAAAACCTAGAATATATAGAACAGTTGCTAGTTCTCCGACTGGAAATTATGTTTTATCATCGCTTTTTCTTCGCTTTAGCTTATTTTTTATGGTTTATGCTGTGTCTGTGTATGTGTATGTGTATGTGGATGTAGGTGTGTTTCATGGATTTCTTTTTTAGTGCATATTTAAAGATTTAAGGTCTTAATTCTTTGTATTTTTTTGTAGTTTTTTTCATATTTTAAGAGTTTTTTTTTGTAATTTGTTTCTTTTTTTTGTTTGGTTTTTTTTTATGTCACTTAAAAAATTACATTAATAAAATGTATTTTAAAACTTATGCAAAATAGCTGCCATTTCGCATTCCCTCTACTCGCTCTCGTCCTCCTCATCCTCCTCGGAGGACTCCTTCTTCTTGATCTTCTTGACGGGCTTCACGGGCATCTTCTTTCGCTTCTTGGGCGCACCGGAATCAGTGCCGCCATTGGCCTCGTACTCCTTCACCGCCCGATTGTACTCCTCCTTCATTTTGATGGCCTTCTGCTCCCATTCCTAAATTGACACGAAATTCAAAAGAAATGATATTACAGCTAGAGATTTGTAGCTGCAAAGCTAACTCCTTACCGTCTTGTCCTTAAGTCCGCGCCACAGCTCTCCACCGCGCTTGGCGATGTCTGTTACCTTGCTGCCGGGATTTTCCTTCTTGATGGATTCACGAGTCTCGTTCAGCCATAGCATGTAGGCGGACAGCGGACGCTTCGGGCGATCTCCTGCTGCACTCATATTTGTATTTGGTTTTTTTAATGCGTTACACTCAACTGACAAGTTTGAAGCTCTCAATGAGTTATGGTAGCTGCAATTTAAGAAAGATAAAATACAATTAGATTTATTTTACATTCCAGTAGATTATTTATCCTGCTCTCCCGCATTATTATTTAATAATTGCATTGTGGCCTGAGCACAAACAGGCTCCAATTAAATAGTCCTCCAGCCAGTATGTGTATCAACGCACAGATAATATTGATATGCCCACCCAACCATAACTAACCCATTCCTACGCTCTGAAACTCACCCAGAGAGAGAGAGAGAGAGAGAGAGAGCCTATCAGAATGGAATACTTTTGGATACATAGTCCTTGAGTGTACCTATGTATTAATATACATTTCCCTGTACATAATCACTATTTATGACTGGAATATTTCGGGTTAATTGTAGGGGTGATTGATTCACCCACATATGTACTTATTTATGTGCTTTTTATACCTTAAATACTTTCCTGTACATAACTCAGAGTGCATTGCACCATTGAGGCTATTGTGTGCACAGGTTTTGTTTGTATACCTGCGGCCAAGTTAAACCTACGTAAAGCCAAGCCCAATCCACAGACCAGCTGTTTTGATGCCAGGATGACAATGGTCTAACATCGGAATAGGGTACGCGGCATGCAAATGAAGCGGCGACAACAGGCCCTGCCTCCCTACGGGGGCCAGAAGCCATGCACTTGACCCAAATCCCAAATGTTGAAGAAGAGAGAAGCAGATAACAACGTGAATTGGGTTAACAAACGACTCGAAAAGCGCTCTGAAGGAAGCTCGGCCGGAGGCCAACAGGGGAGCTTCACCGGGGAGTCGAGTGAAGGAGGGTAGGAGGAGTGTGGCGCATCAATCAGGGTGCCGACGCCTCCGCATATTGCACAACATTCTCCATTGGCCAGAGCCGACCCCCATTTATCTGTGTGTGTGTGTGTGTGCAGACATATCCTGGGACATCGGTGTCCAAGAGCAACAGGAAAACAGCGGCAAAATTCTTGCTAGTTAAACGCGACCACACACAGATGCACACCCACATCCACCACACAAAAACGAAGGGAAAGACGGGGAGCTCGTAGATGGATGACGAGGAGGCTTCGCACATTTCCGCAACACGTGATGCAGCCAGAAATTCGCCTGCAGCGCATGGCCAGGAGGGAGAGGGAGAGAACCACCTAGAAAATCGAAAGCGAATACTGTGCCCCGTCTGCAACGTCAGTGTACAGTGGTTGTGGTACGGGGGGAGACGAGAATGACTTGCGTTTGTCGTTCCTCGATGCAAATTTTGAGGATAATGAGGAAAGCGCTCAATAAGAATGTGACGAAAAATCACAGGGGATACCGTTAAAAAACTCAAATCGAACAAAAATCTAAAAAGTTATGGCTATAAAGACGTACTTATGGGCAGAAAGTAAGCCCACATCAAGCTCTATCAATGCCTTTCCCCTGAACATTACGCATACGCAGCATGCATAGGGCTGGCAATATTACGCATACGCAACTTGTGCGGCAGAGGCCCTGCATAATGGATGCCAGACGTAGGGCAAACACAGGGCACACGCAAAAGGTACACAAAGGACATTAAATGGAATACTAAATAAGTCAAAAGAGACCAGAGAGCAGAGCCCAGAGCCCAAATCCCCCACAGAAATTGCCATTTTGTCGATCTAAAATTGAAAAGCAGACGTCGCTGTCTCTGCCGCTGTTACGTCGCTGCTCTGACGCAGTCAGCGTCAACGTCAGCGTCGGAAAAGGCTCTCGACCAGGCCAAAAGGCATAAAACTGACAACGCTGCCGCTTATCTATCCGAATGTGTGCGTGTGTGTGTGTGTTTTATGGTGTTTTTGCCCAGCACCACCCAAAAGCAACCATCTAGAACCAAGGAAAACCACCCGACACCACCCAACCACCGACTGCGAGGCTTGTGCGCAGTACCAGCATTTTAGGGTAGATATTTTTACAGGGATTTGCGCACTGGAAGCCCAGCTGCAACAACCACAGCCAGAACGGGAACGAGTACGCCAGTTATATGCCCGAGAGCGAACGCACAGTGGTGACTTTTAAAAGGGGGAATGAATGCTCGCACATAATGCTGATAATAGCCTCGCTTGAGGGCCGTTTTTCCCTACCCGTTGTTTCTCCCAGTGTATGGTACAGTCAGGTCACGAAATCAAAGGGTAAGCGGTGTAAATGTGCTTGAAAACCGATAGATGGCGCATTGGTGGTGTGTGTTTGCATTTGAAATGTTTACTTTCTTGCTCCTCAGAGGCGTCGAATAGGAATTGCAATTAATACGACATTTCAAAATATTAAAGCCAAAACCGTTTGAGAGATAAAAGGTAAAACGATGATAATCTCTTCAAGAAACACTGAAAACACACACTGTCATCTGGACAGCAGTTCTGTATCTCTGTACCCCCTTGGTGCTTGTTGCCTTGTTGTACCTTCCCACAGATAAAACCAATATACGATTAGGAACCAGCACAAAACTGGCGCGAAAAGAGCTTTGTAGCTGTAAATCAAGCAAGCTCTCGCTCTCTCAGTACCGCACCTCTCTTCAATATGCTTGTGTTTGTGTTTTTTGTGTGCTTGGGGGGTATAGTGCCGCTATATGGCACAACTTTTGGCGCCATTTTTAGTTTGCACTCGAGAGTGCAGCACGGAAAAGCGCTAAAAACAAAAGCACGCGCTCGGAAAAAGCGAACGTTAATAACAAACCAAAAGGATTACCCCTATAGGATTCACGTAGAATGTAATCTGTGCGAAGATCCACAAAGATCCACAAAGACATGGCACCTTAATGCACTACAAACAACGGGAACGTGACCATCTACAGGAAGTGCTACTCACGGCCACACACCGTCAACCATTAGCCATGTGACCATGCGGAAGGTCATCAAGGGAGGTGCCGAGTCGGGAGGCGAAACTTAATGCCAATTGGCGACAGGATTATGCCCCACAGCCTGGAAAAGCTCCTAAACACAGCAGCAGATGCCGCAGCAGATGTCGACAGGTGGGTGGACAGCGAGCGTGCCGTCTGGGGTCTGTCTGGGGTGTGGGGCTGAAGCCGATCAGAAATCGAAGAGCCCAGCTGCAGCAAATGCAGAACATGCATTGGGGAATGTACAGTGGAGGTATGAAATATTGCCTACAGGCAGAGCAGCACATGGTAACAGAAGGTAAGGACCAATTTTTTTGTATTGTGAATAAAACCTTAAGACACCTTTTGAAACCTTTTAGAAGCATGATTACTAACTATTATTTTGTAACACTTCTTGGCTAATTTTCTTCAAAAACCGAATATTCAAAATAAATGGGCAATGCTTTAAATAAAATCTATTTGGAGGAAAATAAAGCAATTTTCCATTCGCTAATTTCTCTCTATCCCACTCAAAACAAAAGTCAATTGTGTTAATCGCTAGCACAATTAATATTTCCATGCACAGTCGAGCATTTATTTTCAATTAAATGCTGATAAAACCAAAAATAATCGCAAATGCGAGGCGGAACAACTAATTTGACGGCTACTGTGACAGCGCTGGCTAACACTTGGCGCAGGCCAGTGTAAAAGTTGAAGCCCCTACTAATGAAAAATACTCGTATTCTCATATCTCTACGTACGTTTTGCTGCTGTCGCCTGCCTGTGTTTTACACTTCACTCTTGGCCCGGCCTGTTTCTGCTTGTGCTTCTTTCTGCTGGGGAGAGAGACCAAACACCGAACAACGAAAAACGTACTGCGAACACTGAACTGAACTGTGAAAATCAACTGAAGCAGCTGTACCAGGGCCCAGGCAGCCAACGAAACGCAGCCAAAGCAAACGCAGAGCAGAGGCAGAAGCAAAGGCAAAGCAGAGGCAAACGACGACCGAAACGAACGAACGCTGTACACAGCGAGACCATCAAACGGCACGGCACAGGCAGGCAGGCAGCAAAGTATCTGTATATGAGTGTGTCTGAGAGTAGAGTCGACCGAACCAGGCGGCAGCCAACCAACACACAGAGTCGTTGGAAGAGCTGTGTATGTACACAGTGGTGGCAAAATGAGAGTGTACAGCACCGCCTGTCGCTGCGTGCGTGCAAAGAGGGAAATAATTTGAGTTTTTGTGGTGGTCGCACAGAGGCGTCTCGCAAAATCGGGCTGGCTGGCCCTCAAGCGTTCGTACGGCGCATGCACAGTGCAGGCGCTGCATATTGGCGGGGCTAATGTGACTTGTAAAACAATGATTAAATATTAATGAGGAAATTAACTAGGAAAAAAGATAATACAATTTGGGAAATACAACAATTTTTGTAATGTTTGCTGTACTTTCTGCCTATGCTTAAAACTAATCATACCTCAATTTCATACCATTTCCCCTACTTCCCATACAATCTGTTAATACGCGCATGTTCCGACTATTTTTGCCGCGACTGTACACGCTTAACCATATAAAAGCGTGGAGCGGAGGAGCCGTAAGCTCTGTGTGGAACGAAATGCTAGTAGTATTTGGCGGCGCCGCCGTCAACGTTTACCCCTCCGGCACACACATACCCCCCTGCAGCGAAAACCCCCCTCCACAATCTACATGTTAAACCGAAACGCTGCCCACTGCCGCCCACCTGCCTCCCCCAACCATCCCGCAAAAAACCCCTCCTCCCCAAGCTCTTCCCCTACATCACCTCTCCCAGCATTTCTCTCTCATAGACATTTTTACAACTTTACAAAATATCAAAAGCAGAAAAAAAGTTTTCGTTTTATTTCCAAGAAATGAATGCATAAATATTTAACCTACAATATTGATTTGACATTTACAAGCCTAATCGATTGGGTAATCAACGAATGGGGCATAGATTTTTCCTAGTTGCACTTGTGGTTCGATATAAATTTTCAAAAAATAACCGTCAATATTTCGCGCGCGCCCTCCATTCAAAATTTCAATCCCATGCAAGCGCAGCAACAACGATGTCGACGATGGATGACGACGAAAACGATGGGAACAACGACTACAACGCGGCCCGACCAAGAGCAAGAGCCACCTAACCAAAGGCCCAAGCAAAACCCCAATGTATAGAGAATACCCACGCCAGAAATTGGGTCGTTCAGTTTATTTAGCAAATTTTATATAATAAATGGCCACGATGGCGGCGCATTTTGGCCAGACCACACAGATGGAATAGTTAGTAATCAATCGTAGTGGAACACTTAGCACTCACCCGTACGAAAATGTCGCGTAATTTGCCTTTTAATTGCACCTCCAACCGAATCTTCTGTATCTTGCACCAGCGTTCAGTACTACTAGCCTGCTGTTTGTTCACTTTATAAATTTTCTTCTACTAAAAACTCAAGTCTGTTCGGTTTGGTTCGGTTCGGTTTGTTCAGCGTACGTAGTACAGCCTTGCCTTTGGAATATCAAATACACTGAGTGAATGCCAGCCAGCGCCAGCGAGCCACAGCCACAGAGCCAGAGCCAGAGCCATAGAGAGTCACACAGGCAGAGCAGAGCAAAGCAAAGCAGCAGTACGTACGGTACGACGCAAACTCAGGCACTACCGACTGTATCTGTGTGTGTGTGTCTGCAGTGTCCGTGTGCAGATACAGCTATCTGTGTGTGTGCGGTGCTCAGAGCTGTTTTCGTCGCTCTATGTGCGAGGCAAAGGCAATCGACAAACACACAGAAAAGCAGTACGGCAGCAGTACGTGTGTATCTGGCCTGGCTGGTCGACTCTGTCGCTGTATGGGTGTATGGCTGAAATTCGTTCGTTATATGAACACAGGCGGCGCGGCAGATGGACGGAAGCCGGGTGCCAGGGACCGAGGCGGCAGAGACATCAGCAGCAGCACCACCAACAGAGCCGCAGAGCGCAGAGTCAGAGCATTGAATATGGCCGCCTGCTTTTGCTGTATCTATGGTATGGTACGGTATGTATGGCATGGCATGGCATGGTCTGCTTTGTACTTCAATATTGGATAGTTTTAGGCCTGAGATGGGGTGTACGAAGTATGAGAATATGCTGATAAATGAATAATCTATCAAACCTCATTCAAAATTGGGAGACATTTTGATGGGTTATAAAGAATTTTGAGTGAGATAGATGGGATAACCCCAACGACCACAATACCAACAATTTAAAAATAAATTTAAACCTTAAAAATATTAAGCGATATATCAAATGTAATCATTTTCAACCAAAACCAAATGGAAAAGATTCCCAGATATTTACCAAAAATTTTTCTAGATTATAAGTTATGGCAAAACTTCAAAACTAAACATGAAATTCACTTAAGCAAATATCACAATTTGTAGATAAAAATACGACTTTTGATTGGGCATCATTCAATCTGTAGCTACCCAAACAAAATTCCAAGATATCTGTAAAAGAAAGTTCAACCAAAGAATAGCGCACATCCAGGTGCGACCAGAATCGCATGTTTTTCGCGTCCGTATGGACTGTATCTCGCTGTAGAGCCCCACCGCAGTACAGCTACAGCCAGGGCACAGTAGCAGCGAAAATACGAACCGAGAAAAGCACCGAACGAACGAGAGTGTATGGAGTGGTTTTGGTTGTTGGTGCGCGGAGCGTGGAGCGGGGCAGTGGGGCTGAGAGGCAAACAGACGGCGGCGACGGCCGGCCGTTGTACGTGTCGACACTGCTGTCGTACTATGTACGGGACTGTGTGTATGCCTGTATCATTGTGTGTGCGACTGTATCTGTATCTCTACGCGTACAAACAGCCACAAAGCGCACAGAGCATGAAATCAACATTCCCCACTCATTCGCCTGTAGGGTATACAAGGCAATGGGATATTGTGGACATGAATGCGACAGAAGACCAGACCCGGTCTCATGTTGCCTGCCTGCCTGCCGGCCGCTTGGTGGTGCATTTGTTGGGAGAACTGCCGGCTGAATCGCTCATCGGATTAGCCAGATACCATGTGTGCAACTTCAAAAGATAAAACCCGATCTTACTAAAATGTTGCAATTTGAACTCCACGAGTTGTAACTCATCTCAAATACACATTCATAAAATATGTGCATAATTAAAAATTATGGATATAATAGTAACTCAGATCTTTAAGAAACTGTACTCTAAATAATCCAATGAAGGAAGAATTTTATAGATTTACTACTATTATATATGTAGTAATATCTTCCATCTACAGTAGCATACAGCAACAGAAACTTTCCTTCAATTGTCAATTTTGAAAATAAAATTGCATCTGATACACCTACTGCGATAACAGATCCCATTTTGAAGATCATTGACCTCTTCCAAAACAACCATTTAAGGGTTGCTTTTATTTGAAATCCCTGACAATATTTCTGTATCCATTTAGCATTGCTAATCTGTTGCTTTTGCCTTGCAAGTCTATTTTTTTGGACAGTATAACTTTTTGCATGGTGCTTTGGCCCACAGTGCCAGTGGGTCGGTCGATTATTATTATGGTTGTTTGTCGTCTCATTTCAGCCTTGTCTGTGTAGCAGCACACAGAGAGGAGAGCCTGCCTTCCACTGCCGTAAAGCTAACGTTCATATCGCAGGGGCAGTGTGGGATGGCATGGGGGATGTATGGGCTGGCTTTGGTATTGGGTTCTGCTGGGTTCGGGCTCTGTCTCTGTCTCTGGCTCTGTCTCTGGCTCTGGCTCTGCCTCTGTTCCTGTGAGAAGGTGAGGGATACGGCCGGGCTGGCTGCAGTCAGCAGTCGGGTCGACTGCCGACGCTGCTACTGGCAGCAGCTCTCGGTGGTGGCAATTGTCGGGCATAGACGAAACGGAGCGGATGATGACGACGATGAAGGCTGCAGCGAAGGGGTGGTGTTCTCCGAGGGGTGGCATGAGGTCCCATACGCCTGGAGAGGAGTATGTATGCAAAAACGAACAGCCTAACGAGACCGAGCCATCCAGCCGGAGAGCAGGCAAACGCTTCATCGAAATGGGGACGCTGAAGCGTACATACATTTCTCAGGATGTGGATATAACGAGCCTGTGTGCGACAACGACAGAGAGTGTAGTAGAAACAAAATGCAAGTGTGCTTTGGAGCAACAATCGGATCGACAATTAAATGCCCTACAGGGACTACATTTCGAACTTTAACGTTCTGTATATCCCTAGATATCTCTCATATCCATATCCATTCCAATCCATTCCTTAGAATACTTGCATTTTTCAGTGATCTAACTTGGAGGATACATTACCATATCTTCCAATAATCTTATCGAAAGTTTTCCCTTCATATTCCATCTAATTGTGGTCTCTAGAGTATACAGAATATCGGTACTATCTGGGTTGTTCTCTTCTCAAACATATCCTGTGCCTTTTCCTGTCCTTTGTCGCATCCTCGCGCGTACCCAGCTTAGTTTCTGTTTTGCCTGGACCTGGAGCTGGTCTGAATCTGGCACTTGGCTTCATTTTGCCTGCAAATACATGGTTGCGTGCGAGCACGAGTATGTGTGTGGATGTGGATGTGGATGGATGGTCGAGTACTTTGGGCCTTTCATGGGACTTGCTGCTTACAGCGACACACACAGGCGCACAGCAGCTACTTCACTAGTATTCACAGCAGGATGCAGTCACAGGGCACATACTGGGACCAGGGGCACTTGTTGTTGTCTGTTTCCCTAACGTTGCATCTTTGCCGTTTGCCATTTTCCATTGGCGTCCTCTCTACTCGAATCAATATGCTTGCCATATGGATCCAATGTACTTGGTTTTCTGATTTTACTGTTATATTTTATTGGGTGTATTCTATAGCGTATGTACGTACATATGTATGTTTATCGTTTATAGAGTCACTCTTTTGGAACGCCCTTCCGTGGATCGTGACACAGTCCTTCCGCAGCTACTCAGCAAGGAATCGCTGTGTTCTCCAGGTGGAAATGATTTATGGTTGTATCCCAAAGACAAGATATCTTTAAGAATCTTCTTTTAGAAAACTTGATTTATATTCATATGTACATCAAAGACAGGTCAACCGGCATGTCAAAGCTAACGCCTACTACCATCTCACTTAAGTCTATTACGTTCCGTTCCGTTTCTGTTTGTGTCTCGTCTCTACCTTCGTGTCCCCATCTACCAGTTCGGTTCTCCCGAACAGCTGATGCTGAAACTGATTCTGATGGCAACGCAACTTTGCTGATGTATGTATTCATACATACACATGTACATACATGGTATGTACGAATGGGAAGGTGTGGAAAGTTGTGTGCTCGCTAAATATTGTGGATTCATGGTGGGGGTGGGTAGTTCTGTTGCCATAGCTCGACTGGCCAGCAATCCCGCAGCAAGTGACTCCAGTAAAACCCCCCTTGAGCCCGGCCCACCCTCTCGAAGGCCAAGTTCAGTATCTTAAACACATTTCAGGGGACGGGTCCTATTGTTGTGCAGCATGTGTGGGCGGGGGCCGATGCGGCGCTGATGCTGGATGCTGACGAGGCGCGATTTGCAACAAGAACAGCAAAAGCAACCAAAACACAACATGACGACTCCACTGGTGCCTATGTGACCCAATTTCAAAGGGAGACGCGAAAGGAGAGTGATGTGCCGCATTTATGATTGGTGCGGGAATGCCCATGCAATTCGCATATGATTGTTGCAGATCCCTTGGGGTACAGGAAAAGTCAGTGCTGCAGAGGGATCGATCGTATCTGATTATTGGCAAAGAAGCGAAAATGTAGGGTATACAAATGTTCCGCCTCACCTTTAGTGAATCCAATGGCCTATGGTAGGGTATGCAAAAACCGCAAAGATGATAAGCATGTGCTCGGCCATAAAATAACAGCAGAAACAACAATAACAACAGCTATGCTATGCGTTTCGCAGTCAGCAGTTCGTTGTCGCCTTGTCGTCCGGTTTCCGAGTCTCAGTTTCTCTCTCTTTTTTGAGAATTTAATGAGCATATACAGAACGAGTGTTCGTTCTCACACACACACTCAAACCCATGTGCTGCATATGTGTGTATTAGATGTTTGTACATGTGATTCATGCTTACCTTACTGAAAAATTACAAAAATTTGTTATTCAAATTGGGAAAGCATCAGTACTTGGTTTTAGCTTGAGCTTTGATTGATACAAATTTTCATTACGTTCATTCGCGTAATTAAGACATGTATTTTACATTCATGTTACATAGGGCACCCACACACGCACACACAGAGAGCGTGGAGCGAGAAAGAGACTCTCTCTTTATTTGCTGGTAGCGACGCCAGCAGCGCTGCCGCGCTCTCAGTATTATATGCTTTTTCTGCTGCCGCTGTTGCCGTTGCTTCTGCGGTGTTTCTGCTTTTGCTTTCTCCCACTTGAGTTGTTTTTGCTTTTCAGGCGTTGCTGTCTCTGCTTTTTCTGATTTTTGCCCCCGCAGCAGTAATCGCTCGTTAATAGGAACCAGTTAACACACAGTAATACGAGCAGTGGAGTCCGATTCTTCAGACCTCTATATGGCCACTATCACCCTTCCAAGAAATTGTTTTTGTTTAGATTTTGATGCCGTTAAGGGAAACAGCTGTTTACGGGTAGAGAAGACATCGAAAAAAAAAAATGCTGAAAGAATGCATTTAACATTGATATGTAGACTAAAACTTTTGATACCCTTTTAATATCGATCTCTTAATTTAATAAAAAGCAAATTCAAATTAAAATAAGTCTAAGAAAATAGTTAAAAACACAAGATTGTATGCAATACAATCAAAATACAATACAAAAAAAGTTGTAATAGTTTATAAAATTGTACATATTCAGAGGTTGAAATAATATAAAAAACTTTAACGTAATCACAACCGAAGTAGTAAATCATTTGTAAGAGTATCAGGAGCACTTAACGATCACTTCATGTTGATTAGGAAGGCGTATTAGTTAAAAATATTCATCTCGCCCCCATGTCCGATGATCTTGCGACGCTCTATCGAGAGTATGTACTGGATCTTGGACTGCATGACCATGGCATTGGATATTGGCATATTACGGAGCTGGGCAGCCACGCTCATTCCAAAGAATGTGAACTCGTCTTCACCACGGGTCTCGTTGCGGTCAAAGTATGAGGATGGCATTGCGGTGACCTCTGGGACCTTCGGCAGAGACGGCGGTGGAGTGGGTGGATGATGTTCAGTTGGCATGTTCACGGGAAGAACGGTGACCAACGGCGGCGCTGTTGGAGTAGTGTCCGGCTCTGTGGTGACGCTATCCTCCACAGGCTCCTGCTTGACCCCGTCCTGCAGCTTTATAGGCTTCAGGCGGTGGAGACGTACAGACAGTCGCTTTAGTTGCGGCGTTTCCGTAGCATCTTGATCGCTCTAACGGTAAAATAAATTGATTTGAGGTTAGGATTTTTCATGGCAGATCGAGGGATCTGCAGGATCTAATAATGTACCGTGTCGACGAACTCCGCCAGGAACTTGTGCAGTGGTGCGAACCACGGCATCTTGGGATGATAGCGTCTAGTGCTTGATTTGATCTTCTTGAGCTCCTGATGGTAACTGGTTCGTAGATTCTTGATCTTTATCTTGACCCCCTGGATAGAGAGTTCGTTTTCCCCCCGATCAATATTGGCATTGATCCCGGCCAGGATCCGCTTGTAGGCAGCGTTCCTTGCCCCCCTCAGGTAGGGCCTCTTGTTCCACAAGCAAGGCTCCCGCCCATAGAGCTCCACAAACTTGAGGGTCCGCTCATCGGTGAACCGGAAGGGCAGTCCGACTGTCAACGCTCCCCGGTAGGTCATCTCTCTGCGGTTTCACTGTATGTGTCGTTCCAGCCAGCACAAAAGCACAAAGCACACTCGATAACCTCTCTGTCGAAGCACGCGCTGCCAACTGATGCAGCTTTTTCCATATTTCTCCCTCTCTTGTCTTTGTATTGCTCTCGCGAAGCAAAGTTTCGTGTACCGTGCTAGCATGCTTCTCCGTACTGCATACGGTTCGCAATTCTGTGCTTATAGGAAGAAAAAAGATTCATACTCAAAGTATTTTGATCACACTTTTTATGCTGATTTTTGTTAGTAAATTTAATTTCCATAAACAAGCTCAAACTATTTTTTAAAGGTTGTAAATAAATATTATAAAAACTGAATCAGAGTATTTATTTTAGGCGCTTTTATTCAATACCAAAGCGAATAAAATATGCTTTATCAAGCTGTTGAATTTCGGACTCTTTGCTTTTCTGCTTTTCTGTAGCCGCCGCCGCTGCTGTCGCTGCGAGAGAGGAGAGTCATGCGCAAGCTGGAAGCTCTCTCAGAAGACGTCACTGGTGTTGCGGTTTCGGTGTCTCCACTGCACCTTGCACATGCATATGTACCTACATATGTATGCATAGGAATTTAAATATGTATGTACTTATGTATGTACATAAATATGTACATTTGTCACAATGGACTATTATCCAAAAACTGAATGTCCCAAAAAACTTTTGAAAACTATTAAAAATTTGCATTCTCGTTCGTATAACAGTGCAGGAATATGACGATCGGCAAAATGTAAACAGATCCATATTTTGCATGAATTTTGCTTGGATTAGCTACATTCAACTGATTTTATATGTATGCTTTTTTTCGATCCAACGGCAGCTGCGCACACAATTTTCCCCTAATTTCAGGTCACGCAATCTGGGTGCATCGGAATGCAGTCGAGCATCCTTCATCCCACTTTATTCCTTGCTTTGCCAGGTACCGTGGTACATGCATATGTTCTTTCCCTTGCGAAGGCCCATTCCATCTCGATCCAAACCGTGGAACCCCGACTATTGTGAACTTTCAACAGCGCGTGACATCGTTATCCTTTGTGCGAGAGGGACACACAAGGAAAAACTGCAGCGACAGTTTCAGCATCCATTTTCCCTCTTTTCTTTTGTTGCGCCTTCTTTCTGTTCTTTATGATTTTATGGTGGGAAAATGCCTGACAGCATCTGCTGATGGGCTGGCCGGCGAAAAGTGGAGTCTGCCGTGGCCATCGTTAACGGTTAATTTGTTAGCTAAACTGATTTTCCGATAAGAAGTAGTAGTCGACCTATCCGATCTGTCAGGCCCAAAACGCGTGGAGGAGTTTTCCTGATGGTTGCTATGACACACGAAAATAAATCAAAGTACCAGAGCTGGGTCCTTAAAAAGTCAAGAAAACTGCATAAATTAAACGTCAGAGGCCATCCAAATGCGATTTTGCACGGTTTTATATTTCCTACAAATTTAGGATAATAGATACAAACCCCATACTCTTATTTAGCCAATCTCTTGTTCAGTTATTAATTGCCATATCTTTTAAAATATTTCTTAAATTTTCTATTGAATGCTGCATATAAATTTTTGGCGCCATTTTTAAAAAGCGACCCTCGGCCGTACATTAACTGTGTGTGTACCAGAGAGAGCAAGCGAAGCGAGGCTATGCATGAGACGACGACTCATCCAAACGGCTTGGTGTATGTGTCGAAGAAAAAAATCTAGAATTGTTATAATTTTGGCATAATTTGATGTGAAAAATGCTTTCTGGCCTGCATATTCACTGGGATTTGTGATATTACGTCTATTATCGCATCCATCGCGTTTTATTTGTTTTTACAGTGCCATTTATCATGTTCCCTTTTGCGTTTGAAATTCTCAACTGCTCTCTCACCAACACAAGCGCACAGGCTCACGCTGACGCCGAGTTCGCTCGCGTCGCTGCCGACGTCGCCGTCGCTGCCAGTCGGCATATTTCTTACCTACTCGCTTTCCTTCCATCGACAGACGCTAGTGCCCGTACAGTTTCATTTGCGCAACACACGAATAAGGTTGGTGAAATATGGAATAACTCCTGAAATTGTGAATAAATATTAAATATATAAATAGGAAACAGTGCAATAGTTGATAATAGAGAAAACATAGAGATTTACCCCTTGTGAAGAAGTGAACATTCGCTGACATTTGTTTTACCCCTGAATCAACGCTAGTGAGAAATTTAAAGTGGCTGCCGAAAAAACTGAACAGAAACGCGGTCTCAGGCCGACGCTGTACCGCAGAGAAAGGAAAATAGTATTGAACGAGAGAAAGCGTTGCCATTTTGCCTTCAGGCTGGTGGCGAGTCAAACATGGCTGCCATTGAAATTTGCGTAGAAATGTGTTATTTTTGTTTAACTTTCTGTAGGAAAAATTCTCGAATTGTTTATTAGAACGCCACGCTGTTTAAATGCGCGCCTTTTCCATATTTCATGCATTTTCCTTTTGTTTTTATTCGGCATTTAGCGCTTCTCTTTTCATTCGCCGGTTACAGAGAGTGCGAGAGCGGCGACACAAAAAAGAGAGCGCGTTTCTCTCTCAATCTCTGATTTCTTTGCAAATGCATTTCGTTTTTTTTTCTCAACCGAAATTCTAGAAATATTGAATAGTTTAAAATGTAAAGGTTGCATTAAAACGTTTCCTTAATTTAAAATATTTGTTGTTCAACGCCGCTACAGTCACAGGGACGCGACGAACGCCGTTCCCTCTCTTTGTCTCTCAGGCCATCTGCCGCCGCGAATAGTTTTTGCACCTCTGTCAGCGTCTGCGTCGACTGCGGCAGCGCCTGTACGTGTGCTGATGCTGCCTTCGCCCTGGCTAGCGCGACGCCACCTCGTTCAGTTCGATAGAGGTTGGTAAACGCTTTAAACGCCTTCGTCTGAAGCAAAAGTATAAAATAATTGAAAGAGAAATATAATAATAGTGTCGGTTAATGTATACCCCCAGTGCTTCATAAAGTTGTGCATTTAAATTTGGCTTTATTTTGCCATAAATAGTCGAGACTTCAAGAGACTCGATTCGCAGTTATTTTTCTGCTTAACAAATCCTCTCTTCCTAATGTTAATACTCAGTAGAGTTGCGTTCAAGGTTTGCCAGTCATTCTTATGGCTAATTTCCTAGCATAAATGTGTATTTTCATAAAAAAATGTATCACACTTTGTTCAGGGTTTCCCTTTGCTTTGTCAATCTCTTCGTAGCGTTGCTTTGGAGAGCCTGTACCAGCAGGCCCTCGCTGTGCTGTGGCTATGGCATACAGAAAAAGCCAAGTGTTGCCATTCCGTTCCGTTTTGTACTCGCTGTTTCGCTGACTGCTCTCTGGCTATCTTTGCGGGGGGAAAATAATATAAAGTCTCTAAAATTTTCCTATGTTTGGAAACATATTTAATGTTGTAAAACTTCAATTAATATTCGTATTAATTATTAAGCGGCGCGCGCGTTTGTACAGAAACATACAAGAAGCAGCAAGAGCGCGCGCGCGCATTTTTTCTGAGCGTCAATGTTGACGCGGGCAGAGCAGCAGCAGAAGCAGTATTGCCGTCTCTTTTGTTTCGCCATTGCTAGGGTCTCTGTGCTGGTGGTGGCTTCTTTCTCCGCTCTGCTCTTGCCTTAGCGTTTTGGTACAGGAACATGGCGCGCGCTTCTGAAAAATAATTCTGAAAGTTCGCCTATTTAAAAATTGAATTTTATTGCAGTCTTACTTCTTTTGATTATTGTTTCATACTAACTTTACGTTCTCTTCTTTTCAGCTTGAAGCAAGCATAAAATAGTTGTATTCTCTATAAATAGTAACAGACAAATACAAAATAATTATGGCCGATAAACCAAAACGTCCTCTTTCTGCATACATGCTGTGGCTGAACAGTGCCCGCGAAGGCATCAAGCGCGAGACTCCCGGCATCAAGGTCACCGAGGTGGCCAAGCGCGGAGGAGAATTATGGAGAGCCATGAAGGACAAGTCGGTGAGTACACGGAAAGCTGAAAGATTCTCTGGGAGTCGGTAATAATGTATTCTTTGTTATCTGCAGGAGTGGGAGGCAAAGGCTGCCAAGGCTAAGGATGATTACGATCGTGCCGTCAAGGAGTTTGAGGCTAATGGTGGTAGTAATTCCGCCAATGGCAATGCCAAGAAACGCTCGAAGCCTGCGAAAAAACCAGCAAAGAAGACCAAGAAGGATGACTCTGACGACGATGATGATGATGAGAGCGAGTAGGATGGTTCTTTCAATGACCATCTCGCATTCACCATCAGTTATCCATCACCAGTCAAAAAAGTAAACACTACAACATCAGTGGATCGAAGATTTTACCTGCAATGCGAACACCACACACACCACGCAGAGTCCCTTCACACCAACCTTATAATAGAACAAACACACACACACACAAATCGATAGATCATCCATCAGAAAAAAGAACACCAAACTGCATGGACTGTTGCAGTTGCCGGCGACGGCAGAAAGGGAGGAGAGCCAATCAACCACAAAAAATAAGAAAACTTGTATTTATACATATGAATTTAAGTCTTAGGAATCGTTTCATTTATAATGACCTATACACCAAGAGAGATAGACACAACCCACAAAAAAACAACAAAAGTTGACCGAATAGTAGGAAGGGGAGCACGTTAAAGGTGTTTTTCCCCACGCGATCTCTTCTGCGGCGAGGAGAAGAAACTTTTCTTGCGTATAACAATTGTAAAGTAAACGATAAAATAATTCCATTAAAAATAAAAAAATATGAAAACAAGTTCTCCCGGTGGATGTTTTCGATTAGATTGTAGCGTTGTACAAATGCAGGGCCTCCAGAGTATAAGATTAGAGATCCACTTTATACACACACAACACAACACCCCGCAAATGAAAAAAACGAAATATCGCTCAGGTCTTTTCGTCAGTTCGTAATTGCATTAAACTTGAATAATGTTTAAAACGTCTTGTTATGTAAAAAAAAGATGTGTAGCCGAAGAAGCCAGAAGGTAGAGGATGAGTTTTGGGGAGAAAGCAGATGTAATTGCATTTAATCGGTAGATTTAATTGATAATTATACATACATATAATTTAATGAGAAACCAACAAAATAAAGCGAAAAATACATTTTTTAAATGCGTTAAACAATGGGTTCAATCCCGCGAATAATTATTTTTGGGCTAGCCTTGCACCCTTCACACTTTCCACCATCAATGAAACACGAGTGTTTGTTTTAACCTCTTCTTTATTTTAAATATCAATACGAATTCAATGAATTTGCTCCGTTCTTTGTTATGCGTTATGCAAAAAATCACTATTCCAACGATTCATGTGGGATTTAGTTCTATATATATATTTATCTATATATCGTATGGGTTAGCACCCCAAAATACCTTTAGGAGTTTTTGTATTCACTTTGGGATTATCAATGATTAACAAATATAAAACACAACACAACCCTACAAACAATATCTGTCGATTCAGTGCCAATGGATGAGGAGGAGAAGGATGATGGTGTTGGGTTTGATTCTTGCGATTCGATTATGGGTGAAACATACAAAGATTAAAGCTTACATATATGGTATATATTGAGTTGGGCGGCTACGCTCCTATCCTTAAGTGTTTTCAGATCTTGGTAGTTAAGTTGAGAAGTCCTTCGCCTTTTCTTTCTTTGTTTTTTATCAGTTGGGACACATAGTGGAGGTGTTGCGCTTAGTTTATTACAGAGCTTAATCTACGAATTATGGCGAACAACAAAACAAACAAGTCTCTCTCAGAGCCATTCCACAGAAGATGAAATAAAAATGGATATGAAACGATTGGGAGCTGTTCCAGGGGGTGTCCAAGTGGGTGGGGTCTGTGCCATTATCCACATTTTCCTTGTGGACCGGAGCACCTTGTCCGTCTAATTGCGATTCAGCCAGAATATTGTCTTCAGCACAAAGTAGGCCAGGCCCAGGCAATAGACGATCTTCTCCCGCTGCATGCGCTGCTCGTTGTTGATCTCAATGTTGAGCACCCGGCGATTTAGCTTGGCCAGCTGCCGGCGTAGATACAGGATCTCCTCGTGGGGCGTCAACTCGCCCATTGGCGTGCCCTCACGCTGGGCCAGCATCGAGGCATCCAGATTGTTGTGCTGCTGCTGCAGATTCAGCTGAGAACGTTTGCTGGCACTGCCGGTGGTTAGCTATAGGAGGAAATGGATTCGAACATTAATAACTTGGCCAGAAATCGGAAAATACAAAATTATAGAAGCTACAATGGGTTTGCCTCTGCACAGCAGACAGTGCCCAGTGTCAGTGTCAGTTTCACAAAACTAACGAAAATTCTCAGTTTAACAAAATCTAAGCCACACTTTTGGCCTCTACAATGTCACATCAGCCCTTCCCCCACGCCGACGATGAGGAGGAGCCGCCCAAACTTGAGCCAATTATCAGTGCGATGAAGTGCGAGCAGACGGGACACATTATGGAGGCCATTCTGTTGTACGAGGAGAGCATCTACAAGCTGAATCAGATGTGCGAGACGGAGCCCAACAAGAGGCAGCTGTGCGGCAAGTATATGATGATATACGAGTCCCGGGCCAAGCAGCTTAGGGATCAGGTGAAGAGCCACTTGCAAGCCAGCAGGGTGCTGGACCACATCAGCATTGAGCGTGATTCGCGCGGCAAGAGCTATCAGCGACTGTTCGGGGCCTATCTGGACGACAGTGTCAAGGAGGCGCACATCAATGAGCCGCACCTGACGGACCAGAATCATATTCGGAATCTACTGAACTTCCTGGAAGTGCTGGTCAAGAACTGTCGCTTTTTGAAGTACATTCGCCTCACCACCCGTCCAGATCCCGTTGTGCCCAGGAACCAGCAGCTCATCCTAGAACAGATACGCTCAGATCTGGCCACCGGCAACATTCAGCTGCACTACCAAATGGACGACACCCTGCACGACCGCAAGATCGTGCTCAGCTCGGGTGTGGTGATCAAGATTGGTCGCGGTCTGCACTACTTTGAGGCCAGTGACAATAGCCACAGCCTGGGCTTGTGCGACTTTGATTTTCGCAAGTGTCAGGCCACCGAGGTGGACATCTGGAAGTGTCGGGCCTTTGCCAAGAAGCCCAAGAACCCGGGCGAGCCACACAACGACGAGGAACAATCGCACCCCGAGACGGAGGCTCCCGGTTACTCCAGTGACTAGAGGAGAGGGCGACTTATCACCCGAAATAGTACTAGAAATCAATAAAAGCAGCTGTCGTTAATCGCTGGAAAGTCAGACGGTCTGTGTGTTGAGCGAGGCGAGCTTTTACTACAGACGTCGATCGCATTTCGTCATGGCCTGCATGAGTTTGCTGATAAGTCGAGTGGCTTAACCCCAAGTGCTTACCTGCGAATCGGACTCCACGGAGTTTGCATCGTTTGTGTGGAAGCCCATGCGGGCCGTGCCATTGGCGCGCACGTATTGCGTGGCATTCCCTTGCTCGTCCTCCTCGTCATAGTCCTGATCCTGGCCATAAACGTGATGGCCGTTGGCCCTGATGGGTGAGCTCTCCTCGGAGGCCGATGGGAAGTGATGATCGGTGAGTGTGATGACACGCGGTGGTGTCTGGACGCGGGCAAAGCTCGCCGAGGGATTCTTGGGTAAAATAGAGTTCTCCAGCTGTATTTCGCGCGGTGCCGAGCGCGTCTCTAGATGCTGATTGTGCCCCAGCACCACAATCCGGTCGGGCACATTCATGTCGATCTTGTCGTGGTAGTTCCAAGAGCTGATGAACTGATTCCCATTCTGGTTGGACAGCAGCAAGTCCTCGTCAGAGTATTCGCCCGTGGCCTTTATGCGCTTGGGTACGCGCATTTTGTCGTTGATTTCGTGTGCGAATTTGGCCTCGTTATAGAGATCGTCATCCAGTCCATTGAACATGGGTGTGGGCGATTGGGGGGTCGCCATTGTTCTTCACTATGCTATTCCTTCTGGCGGGGTCTGGTCTCGTCTGGTCGGGGCCTCCTCTTTTTGTCGGACTGACAGCAATCGATGTTTTTTTTTTTGGTGATGAGTTTTGTGGAGGCGGTGAGAGAGACGTTTTCAGAACAAATTAGGACAAGGAATTTTGATTGTGCAACATTTTGCACTGCAATTCGGATGCTCCTTCTATCTTGTGTGTGTGTGTGTGTGTGTGTGTACTTACAATTTTTCTCAAGTGACAGGAAAATGTTCGCAAATTCCGTATTAATTTAAATTTTTTTCCTTTTGTTATATCTTTGAGGGTGGCCAGAATCTGCTAAAAAATACCGAAAGTGCCTGGAACAGTGCTGTTAAGGAGTGTTCTCATGATGTTGGTATCTGGACTATTCGATAGACTTGCTGGCTATTTGGCGCGTACTTGAATAATACTCTGCTGTTGCCTAGAATGATCTCAAATGAGTTTTATACTTTACAAAAACAATTAAAATTGTGGTTTCTAGCAACTGATTTTAATTGAGCTATTTTGCATGCATTAAAAGCGTTGACAAACATTCGATTGTGAAAAATACATTCCGTACTGTTTAACGCACACGTTTGCCAAAATACCAGAACACGAAAATATAACGGCGAGTAAGCAGCTCAACAAAATTTCCACAAAAACCTAGCCAATCTTGTGTAGAGTTGATTGATAAAATTGATACAATTATAGTAACTTTAACCAGCTAGTAATAATAAATAGAATAGGAAGGCGAGGAAAATGTTTTAAGATTTATTGTATCTTTACGGTATATTTTAAAAATGAGAAGTCAAATTTCGGTATATTTTATCGATAAGTTTTACAACAAAATTTCCACATCTTCGGCAGCAGACGCGCGTCTTTTTTTACGAGTGGTTTTTTCATCATTATATGTGAAAGTTGCCATTAAAATCAATTATAAATTCAAGCAGAAAGTAAGTTGAACACCTTTTGAATGATTAAAAGTGGGAGGATCGGGGCGTGTGTGCAAATTCTAACGACAAAGAGAGCGGGCCGCTTCTGCAGTCAATGCTCTGCCGCTGGTGCCGGGTACAGTCGCTTAGGGACGGGACTTGTTTTCAGCGCGCCAAACTGCAGACACAAATAAATCGTTTTCTCCGCCCTCTGCGGCCTTCGTGTGTGTTTGTGTGTGTACGATAACTATAAATAAAATATAGCACTCGCTTTTATACATATTTTAATGCATACACAAATATTCTCACTTTGTTACAGCACGTTTTTGAGCAGACATAATAGAAATCTGACATGGACCGACGCCTGAGACGCCCGCGTCGCGATGAGACTGCAGCCGCTCCTGTTGCCTCCACACAGCCGAGCCTTCTGCCCGTTACCCGGCGGGCTGGCTCACTGGCAGCTGCAGCCGCCAGTGGCCCTGCGACCCGAACACGTGTCTCGCCCTCGCGCAACAAGGCCATACAACCGATCCCAGAATTAGAGGTGGGACCACGCACAAGGCGCTCCAGCCGACCTCGCTCCTCGGTTGGACCGTTAACTTCATCTCTGCACGGCAAGACATCGATCAAGTCGCCAACACCCATCAGAGAGGTTCCTGAGGTGAGTGAAAATCTAATTTTAGCCAATAAAGTCGCTATCAAGATCAACAATTGGTGGGCCCTTATCTATACGAGGGTTAGCCTCAGCCCTGCACGGAATTCTGAGAATTATCAGTAAAAGAATGTTGTGCTTTGGCTTCGATAAGCGATATAATCCATGTGAAGCTTTACTCACCGCCTATTCCTTGCAGGAATCAGCGCCCGTGCGGCAAGCGACAAGCAATTTGCCCATGACCCTCACCACCAATACCGCCAGCCGGGCACCCAACAAATCCTTCAACACCAGCTCCGTGAATAGCAGCGCGGTGAAAACATACAGCAGCAGCAGCACAATTACGGAACACATTGAAATACGCAGCGAAGGCGGGGGCGAAGTGGATATGAACGCTTTACGCAAACGGATCACAGAGGGATTGCGGCGATCCGTGTCGAAGACCTTTTCGAATTTGGGCGGAACCAAAGCGACCAACACAGAGGATGGCAGTCGCTACAGTAGAAGTTTGTCGCGATCGGTATACGAGGATGAGAAGTCATCGAAGCAGAGCTACTCCACGGGGGAGGAGGATCTGTACGAGGAGGATGAACAGGAGGAGGACGAGTTCCGCAGCTTCAATGACACACGACAATCGACCAATCTGGGCGAAACCTCGTGTCGCCAGATGAAGTCGCCCGAGGAGTTTGGCGGCCGGCTGGGAGCCTTCCTGCTGCTGCTTTTGGTGCCCTTTTGTGTCTACTATCTCACATGGAGCTGCGCGGCGCGCAACGCTTGCCAATTCAAGAATGTCAATCTAGCAGTTCTGATCGACTGGAACTATCTGTCGCGCCAGGTGTTCCAGGTCCGAGTGGTGGGCTCCTATGTGGCATACCAAGTGGCTGTCTTCCTGCTGGTGGCCCTGTTGCCGGGACGGCGTGTGCATCTCACCCGGGAAACCTACAAATTCAACTCGTTGGCCGTGGCTTTGGTGCTGATTATTGCCGGTGGCTATGCCGAGTATAGGAAGTATCCCGTCGTCAGCTATATATTGCGTCACTATCTGCGCTTCTGCATCTTTGGGATTGTGAGTGCCTTCGTGGCGGCTGCCTGGAGCTATTGGCGCGTGGACACTGCCAAGTACAATGTGCTCAGGCACAATGTGTCGAACGAATACGGCCGCACCGGGAGCTTTGTGGTTGATTTTGCCCTCGGCAGGCAGCTGAACCCCAAGTGGATGGGACGAGTGGACTGGAAGCAATACTACTATCGTCTGTCCTTGATCAGCACCCTGCTGTATGCAACATGTTACATCTACCAGACCCTGCAGTGGCCCAAGCCGCATCCCATGTCGGACGGAATTACCCTGGCGAAATATTACTTCAACAACATTCAGTACGATCCGGGCACTTTGCTCTCGGCCAGCTGCCTGATGCTCTACGTACTCGACGCTATTGTCTTTGAGCATCATTTGAGCTCGTCCTTCGAGCTGCAGTACGAGGGCTACGGCAGTCTCCTGCTGCTGCGCTATGCGTCCACACCCTACCTGCTGACAGCCGTGACGAAATACTTTTACGATCAGCGTGTGCCCATCACCTGCTGGTATGCGCCCATCGGAGTGGTCGCCCTGCTGCTGCTCGGCCTCTGCGTGAAGCGCTTCAGCAGCGCCTACAAGTACAAGTACAGGCTTAACTCGCAGAGCCCCATCTTTGCCAACATCGAGACGATTCACACCTTCCAGGGCAATCGAATTCTGTTGACCGGCCTCTGGGGCCATGTGCGTCAGCCCAACTACTTGGGCGACATCATTGCATTGGTGGCTCTGGCCACTCCCATGGCGCTGCGTCTGGCCTGGCCCCCAGTCCTGGGCCTGGGACTGCTCATCCTGGTGCTGCTGCACCGCACAACACGCTCGAATGCCCGCAACCATGCGCGCTACCACTCTGCATGGAATCGCTACTGCGCCCGGGTGCGGTACTCCATTCTGCCGAAGATCTTCTAAGATATCCCATTCTATAGTTTATTTTCAGTTCAGTTTTCGAGTTTATTTTTATTTCTGTGACCATTTTGGCTTTGTTTTATTTTATGTTTCGAATTGTATATATCAATACTCGTGCATCAATTTACCACAACCACAACACCATCTCTCATTGATTTTAGTACAAAATTTGATTATATTTTCACCAACGGACAATTAACACAACTACATTTAAACTTAAATAAGCTTAGTTAAGCTCATATAATAGTAGCTATACGAACATTTATATGTACAATAGGCTGTACGCTTAAGATTAAGACACCATATTGACTACTCTCTGTATAAAACATACTTACACTTGTAGCAATTACTTTATATATTTAAATATCAATTAAATAAATCCTTAGTTTCTATACTATAAAGAAACGCACAACAAAGGGTTTAATTATTGTGTAATTTGAGGGAGTTAAAGGATTAAAAGTGGTTCATTGCTTGTGAGAAATATCTTCCTGATAATACAGGCGGATCTCTAAAAATTGAATGACTTATGCATTATGAATACTCCTAAGCTTTAATGCTACAAAAATCTAGTTTTCTAAGGTTTAAGTGCAGCGATTAAAGTTCTTGTTTAGTGCAAACTTCCTTATCTTTAAGGTCAAGTCCGCCCTTAACTTGATTTCAAGTTGAAGCCAAATATAAAATATGATGGAGCATATTTCATGCCTTTTGCCACAAAATGTGGTTGGATGATGATGATGAATGTCAGCCAACGAATAAAAGAAGTAATTTTGTGTAAAAATGCCCCTGCTACCCACCCCCCATCCGATGCCCTGTGCAGGACTTTACCGAGCCCCTCACCGCACAAAGTTGTGTGGTGTGGGCGTGGCACAAAGCCGTTACAACTGTTAATGACATTTACGAATGTTTGCGAGAGACCAAAACTTGCTGGAACCACCCAGCCGTCCACCCGGCCTCTCTCCTCCCTTCCAACCACCACACACATAATGCCAAAATAATGACGAAGTCTGGCCTGCACCTCCGTCCCCCCAATGCCAACCCGCTACGGCAGGATTCCCCCTCCCTCTGCACGGGAATAGAAAAATGACGCGGAAACTGTCAAAAAAGAAAGCAACAGAGAACATAGAAAGGAGGCAAGGAAACCCCCAACGCTGGGCCGACATTTGCGGTTTGCTATACAAATGACCGCCGCCGTTGCCGACTGCCCCGCCCACTTGACGAAAATTATGCAATAATGGCGTCAACATTAGCAAATTGTAGAGCTATGCAGCTTGTAGAGGCAGTTCCTATTCAGGCAGGAAAGCAGCACCATGCCCCCCCGTTCGGTAGATTGTCCTTTAATGAGCGTTTAAATTGGCGGATCCCGCAGAGGGTGGGATTTTTCTTTTGCTTTTTTTATTTGATTGATTGCTCTTTGCGAGGGTGGCAGGGAACGAAGCATGTAAATGATTTCTACAAGTATGCAAATTTAACAGTTTAAACGAAAGAGTAGTGGGAATATTTATTGAAAATTGTTGTACTTCTTGAAAAATCTTGTGATCGCGTCTTGTGATGAGTCCCTACGGTGGTAAATGAATATTGTTTCCCCCTTAAGAGCCTGTTTCCACTGAGACTGGAAATGAAATTGCAGTTAAGCCTGCTTAAAAACTTTAGCAAGAGATAAAAATACAAAAGAAAAGAGAAAAAGTCAACTCTCACACATACTTGTTCACACACACACACACACACACACACACACACGCATACACTCTCGCATAAATCACGCCTTTTGTCAGCATCAGATAACGTTTGGCATAAATTTAGTTTTAATTGACTAAATGCTTGTACTTTTATCAAATAATTAATTACAAAGCACCAGAGTGTGGGCCAGCACCCAACTGACAGCAAGAGAGAGAGAGACAGAGCCAGTCGAGACAGTTTAAGGAGCTGTGTGTGTGTGGGAACAAAGTTGGGTCAAGCAGGGATCTCTGTGCCCAGCCCTATCTTCCACTTTTCTGTGGGCGGCAGCAGGCAGGCACTTCTGCAGTCTCTCCGCCTGCCGTTAGTTGGCCAGCAAACTGCAGTGTTTGCTTTTGCGTGGGCAGCCACTCGCTTTCAATTATCTAGTTTTCTATAAATTTTCTTGGTCCCGCAGTGGTTTGCCGTTGTCAATGCATTTTGTTGGTCTGTAATTGCCCCTTGTCAACAAGTTGGGGAACAACCAGTCCAGAGATCGATATCGCGGTCGTTTGCCACAATTTTTGCTCTGTTGGCAGAGCAATAAAACTGTTATTGAATGTAATTAGCTTTGTAATGGGGTTATTTATGTATGCCATTGCTTGTTTATGTAGTGCGGTGCAGTGCTGTGCAGTTTGTCATTGCTCTGTTTTGATTGATTGATTAATTGATGGCTGGATGGGTGCTGACTGGACTGAAATTGAGAATGGAAACTGGAAAGTTTAATTGAACCCTCCTTGGGAGGTCTCAAGAACTACTCTAACCTCTAACCTTGAGGCCACTTCATTGGCCAACCATGTGAAAAATGAGCAGAAAGGACCCAAACCACCTATCAGTGGGCCTGGTCTCATTGCCAACTTAGTCAGTGAGGGACCTTGAAAAAACAAAAAAAGTCAAGCAGAAAGCTCTTGACAAGTTTTGTCAGCCAACAATGGGACACGTCGCCTTTGTTCGCCTTTCCTCGCCAGTGTCAGGAGCTGAACATTCATCTTCATCAGGAAGCGGGCTAAGTTTGCATTTAAATTGGTAATTAACACAGAATGAAAGCGAAAGCCAGAACGAATACAAAATGTGATACGAAATAAACAGAAATACAAAAGAACTAAGCGAAGGAGTGTAGAAACAGAGAAACGGAAGCAATCAACTAGCCAAAAGATAACAAACGAAACGGAATAGTAAGTAGGACAATCACACACATTGAAGAAATGGTAGGGCCAAAGGGCAGAATATCATTTTCGATTGCACAATTGATTGTCAAAGCGAGAGCGTACACTCAGAGAAATAAATTCAGGCATTTATATTCTTAGTCTCAGTGTGAAGTTCCATTTGCCGAATGTTGATCAGATCAGCCGCAAAGTTGTGCAGAAATTCATCAATCCATAAGTTCTCTCAGTGTTTGTTTCTGTAAAATCGCAACCAATAATATTAATCCCGTTGCTTCTGGGAGCTGCACTTGCTGCTGATTCTTCTGCTTCTCCGCCGTTATCATTTTATTAAATCAGAAAAGGGAACAAAACAATAAAACGGTACAGCAACAACAAAGAGAGCGAAAGATTGCCAAAAGACAAAAGCGTACCGTTTTGGCTCCCCCTCCCACGAAGACGACTCTCTCTCTCTCTCCGCCATTGAGCGCTGTCAATTGAATGTAAATGAGAGAGAAACTGAGGGGTGGGCGCTGTCAACTAAACGAAGAGGAATGAATAGAGATAGGGCAGGGAAGAGGCAGAGGCAGAGGCAGAGGCAGAGACAGAAGTTGACTTTTGTTGAGCAGGTCAGCGCAATGACAATCGAAGACGAAAATTGTGAATGGAGAGAGCACTTACTGGCCAACAATTGTGGATGGAGCACCCATTGTCAGGTGAGATGTAATTTATTAGCCATCTATCCAGTGAGTGAAATAAGAAGGAACTGAGACAGAGAATTATTTGAATGGGTAATTACCAGAGATCAGAGTAGTGTCAAAAGATCTTCGATTTGAACTCCTTTATGAGGTTAAGAGGTAATTATCTCCACTGCTATTGGTTCTGTTAATCGAAAGCAGTATTCAAAATCATCCAGGGTCCTAGCAGACCCCCAAAACATCATCCAGGCTTACCAAAATGCAGTTTACCACCCTAGAAAAAGTCAATTGCATGCATTTCCTGTAACAGCAATTAGTGCTATTTCTTGGCCAGAAGCAGAGCAAAGCATACCTGACCCAAAATCCATTACCTGCTCGACTTGGCCATAACCGTAACGTAGAATTGGATTGTGGGTGGAGTGGTGCTGGGGGAGCTGCACCGGGGCATGTAGTGTGGAGAGAGTAAAAAAGAATGAGCACAGGGAAAACAAACTTAATTGTCTGCACAGTTTTATTTACTCCGTCGGGGGACGGACATGGGAGGACTTACCCATGTCCTTGCCCTGCCAGAGACAGATAGATATGCCATAGAGGATGAGATGAGGCTGTGTCTGCTTGTAATTACTGTGCTACGACGAGTACTGGAAGGCAGTCCTTTGCCTCCTGCACCCACTTAACGAACATGACCAAGACTGAACAAACAATAGGCCTCTGTCTCTGGGTCTGACTCTGAGCTCCGAACACTGAACACTAGACACTGAACACTCTGAGCAGTGAGCTCTGGACACTGAGAACTGGACACTGAGCACTGGGCTGTGGCTTCAACATGCACGGCTCGTTGCATGGATAAGTGATGCAAAGCCCCCTGACCTGCCAACCATCCATTCTGCCCTGGGTCTTGTTTAATGCCAACACAATAAACTTGGCCAAAAGGTTGTTGTCGATGCTGCTGCTCTGAGGACGACCGAGGGAGAGGGATTCATTCCAGTGTACGGTTGGCCAGGCACCGAGTACAAGTCTGTGGCCATGTAGTAGGTGTTGTTATCATATTTGCATCGTGCTGACCCTGGTGCTGGCTGGGCCTAATACCTCGTACCCCTACTTCCACCCCCTGCCAATAACTCAATCAATGACGCACTGCAGTTGCCCGGCGCCCATTCATCATCAGCAGACAAAATATTAATCGCTCCTGCTCTTCCACTTGCACGGGGCTAAAATTGGATTCGAGCGCGATTATGTCACGGCAGCAAGGTTACAATTTATAATTGTCAAACGTACGAGCGATATGTGCGGATATGGCCATGGATATGCGGATGCATGCCGCAACTGCCCAGACAAATGGCACACATACCAGCAGCATGGGGAGCAGCAGTCCTCCCAGGTAACCCTCAAGCAAATTTGCACCGTGATTTATGGCCAAAGGAAATTGACTTGTGATATATGATGCTCCAGCAGCCAGCCATAAGACCTTGAAAAAGCTGCCACAAAAGCAGTCTGTTTCGTGGAATGAAAAGTCTTTCGCCATTCACGAGGATGGTAGCCTTGATTTGCTTCCTAAAAGGCATAAAAAAGAGTCGATTTAAAAGACAATACATAGATGGATAGATCAAGTTAGATATACTTATAACAGAAAGAGATAGTCCGATGGTTTGGACATCTTCCAAGATTATCCACGAAAAGTGCTGTAAATCAAATATTTTACCATTACAAATTTAAGATTAAAATAAAATTTCTCAATAAAAAAACTTATTCAACATGAATTAAGTTCATCTAAAAGCATACAGCTTGACCCCAAAGTAAGGACTCGTCGCCCTGCGTAATTTGGCCAAGTAAAAAGTAACGGACC